TTCCTGTGTGGTCCAATTCCGTCCGTTGGGGAAAAAATGCGTGGCCGGTGAAAGAGGGTGGAAGGGGGTGAAAGAGGGCGTAGCAGCGGGGAAGAGAGAGGGCGCGGAAAATGGCGGGGTGGGTCGGAGACGACTTAGGCCGGAATCGGGAACCGAGCCAAAATTTGCAATCCGGCCGATCAGGAGGCATCGGGGACACGTGTCGCGTGTTTTAGCCAGCCCCGCCAAAAACTGCTCCTTCCACGTCGCCATTCCGCTTATTGATTTATCGAACAGCTAGCGCCGCGCGTCGTTATTGCATTAGCGATAATACGCGTTCGATCTCGCGCGTGGCTATTACACGGAATTTGTTGTATCGGATACTTGGCGTGGATTCCGAGCCGCGACGTTGATAGATCGACCTGGCCCGCAGTGTACGTAACGTGTATCCCGCGTTTACGTGTTTACGTGTCGCGCGAGCGATCCACGAACCGGTGTTTCCAACGAAATATCGGAGATCGGCAGCTAACGTTGACACGGCTGCTGATTTTTCCTTCGCGATTTTTCTCCGCGATTAGACGATCCTGGTATCCCGTTATATCTACCCGAGGTATCGCGTACGGTGGAATGTTTCTTGAACGGTTAGAGAAAATTAGAGAAAGGACGCTTTGCGACGCGTTCTTTGCGGTGGAAGTATTTTCCATGCAGCCAAGGTATTAAGTTAACAAAAGCCCCTCCTACGGCATCGTGTCTTTAATATTTACCATGTTAATCGCGCGACGAACGCTCCAGTAATTTCGCGCACCCTCTTAATCGGATCTACGTAAAACCGTTCGCCAGAGAGGATTCGTCGAACGGCGTTGTCGGGCGTTTATTTATACAAATATTTAATAAGATTACCCGCGATTATGGGGGGGGGGGGGGGGAGATCGTCCCACGCGAACTCGCCTCGATCGTCACGATGCTCGATAGATTTCCATCGATCTGTACAATCGCGATCGTTGCTCGATCCCGTTTCGACGAAACGCAAAAATCTTGCCTGTTCTTACACCTAGGAATCTCTCACGCGATGTCGATCGCTTCGATAACTTCCCCGACTTGTCTCGATCTCTCGAACTAACGCGGATCATTTGGCGAAAGAGAGGTTGGATTAACGGGCACGAAGGAGACGGGTCCGTTGTTCGTCCAGGAGCAGCGACGCTTCGCCCATAATTTTCGCACTGGTTCGAACCAAGAATAGCAATTGGTATTCGTCCGTGACGGTGAGGGGTGCTCTTGTCCTCACCAGCGCGTGCAGAACGTTCGCCCTCTCCAGATCCAGCCATCTCTGCAGGGTAACTTCCCTTTCCCTTGGTCCGCCGAACGTCACGTCCGCGGGACCCCAGAGAGAAAATTCCAGGACGGATTTCACCTACACCGACAGAGAACAGAGAGACCTTCCAGACTTTGCCTCGATCACGGTGTTTCCTTTATCGAAGATTCTTCCGGAATTCCACCGGATTAATCCTCGAAATATTCCCTAGCAAAAGGGAAGAACAGTGACCGAGTTCTCGCGCGTTTACCTGAGACAGGGTGACCGCCTTCTCTCTCATCAGCAACTCCTGAATCAACGGCAACCTGCTGGTCAGGTTGAGCTGCTGGAACGCGACTAGCGCGCACTGGCACAGCGAAACTCTCTCCTCGTCGCGTTCCTCGTTCGTCTCCACGTTCAATCTGTCAAACGATATCGAGCAATGAGCGAAGCAATTGCGAGCTGGCGTCGAGCAAGCCTCGTCCACGCGTTTACCGACCCTTGAAGAAGATAGAGCCTGTAATAGGCGTCCTTGTCTTCCCTGCACAGCACCACGTTGTTCAAGCTCCTGGCCGACTCTTCGATCCCGCGCGCTTGAAGGCTCTTCAGCGCCGTGACGAACTGGAGGAGCACGAACGAGGCTTCCCTGACGGTTCCTTCGTCGTGCAGGTCCTTGGTCGTGGCCCCGAATAATTGCATCGTGTTCACCTGCAGGCGCGGTAGTACCGAGATGGTCGCTGAAAGAACGAGATTCATTGAAGACGACGCGAGACATCGGGAAAGAAAGGAGACCACCGACGGGGTACCTTCGAGCTGCTTGTTCCCAGGCAGACACGTCCTCTCGGTAATTTCCTTCGGTGGGCTGTCTATAAACTCGATTATAGGTGCCAAATAAAATTCCTTCCGCGACACGTGCGTGGCCAGATCGAAGGCGATGCACAGGGTGACGTTCAGCTCGTTCCACGTCGCCGAGCAAAATATTCTTCTACCAACGGTGATCGACGTATTGGCGTCGATGCCGAAGTGGATTATACGCGGGTTCGTATTTTTCAGCGCTCGCAGCCCCGCCGGCGCTTGAGGTGTTTGGTTCAGCTGCAACAGACCAAACGGAAATACACCTATCAGCCGTAATATTCCACGTACCGTCGAATCGAGTCGTTCGTATGAACACTTTTGACTGCCACGTTGGTCGTATATATAGAATTAATGCTAGATTGATCCTGCATAAACAACGACTCCTTTCTAACAACAACACAGATTTATTTAAACTAAAATATTAGAAATCTATCTCTCAGACACACGATTCTCTACCCGTTATGACTCAATTACGCTCATTTTGTCTGGCCCACGAAATTGCACCCTTATTTAAAGTATAACACGAGGTTTGTATTCTCTTACAAACGTAAATTAGTTATTTCAGATTTTTACAAGAGTTTATTTCGACATGATGCAAGGATTTGCAAGCCTTTATTAAGGATTAGAATGGGTGATGATCGGAGTGGCGTAAGGAGCCGCGAGCTTGGGAATGAACACTCCCTCTTTTCATACGCAAGCTCTCTTCGTTGATTACTCTTTTCCCACGCGATTTCGCTCTTGGTGGGCCAAGTACTTCAGATACTCGGTTGCATTCCTAGACTTTCGTTCATTGCTTTCACTCGACTTGGTCATAAGTATTTCACATTTAAACAATCCTTGCACGTGGTCATGTGTTCGTAAACACTCCAGGCATCACCCCATACACCCGAGGAAATCCCGATACTGCGCTTAACCCTTTCGCTACGGATGCATTCTTCGCTATTCCGTTGAAAGTGTCTCTCTCGAGTCATTTTCTCAGTCCGAAATCTTACAGCGTAAATCAAGTGCAAAACTCTTGCGATGGGTAACCACGAAGATACCATGTATACTCTGCGAAAGTTCACGCGTGACTTAAGTCCCCGCTCGTACATAGCGAGCGTCAGGAGTTGGATGACTATACGGTCACCGCTCGTAGCGAAAGGGTTAATACCATTTTCTTTGCTAGAGTAATTTCCAGCTCGCAATACCACGTATACGACTGGCCACGGCTTTTCCTGTGACGCCACGGTGGTCACCCGTGACCGCCGATAGGACAAACGCTCGATTGGCTAATTCTCCCGTGGCGTCCTGAGCGAAACACGTGATTTCGGCGTGACAGTGAAAGGGTTAACTCGCCTACGAGTAGAAGGTAGAACGTAGAGGTAAACGAAAGGATTCGATTATCCTCGAGAGACAGAGGCACCGGAGATTCTCGTCTCGCGTGTCGCGGGATCCGGATGGTGGAGTAAAGAGGGTTGAAAAGTTTGCAGGGGAGGGGTGAGAAAGTACCTGGTCGAGAAATTGCGCGAGGGCTTCGTGATTCGCGACCACCACGGCGCCGTAATTATCCTCGAGGCTCCGATGAACTATACTGCGACCTCTGCGTTGCCTCAATCGGCTTATCCTTAATTCGTCGTCCTTATTCTTCCAGTCCTGATCCTCCTCCGGGCCCTGCATTTTAAAAATTCCATTATAAATTCCACGCGGTTGCGCGACCGATAAAACTATCTCAAAGTAAAATTGTTTCCCGGGATCTTTATTAAATAAGAAAAGTCCGGGCCGGGCCGCGGAACTTCCCGTCGAGTAATAAAGTTCCGCAAATACCGCGGGATCGAGTTGCACGATAATAAAATCGCCGGGCCCCGCTAAGCAGCTGTGAAACCGATCCACCTTTTTCAAAGCCGGAGAGGAGAGCAACTCTCTCTCTCTCCACGAGGGCGTGAAAAGGCGATTTCGACTAGAGCTTCGTTCCATTCTTAAACGTACCGTCATTTCGTTAGAGTCCAATCGATTGGGTAACTCGTAAAATTTCCCTTTTTTTCCCCCCTAATAGTCGAAATTTTAAAGCAAACGTAACGCGAATGAAACGAACACTTGGTCGATAGGAAAGTAACGAAATTTGAAATTTCGAATATTCGTTGAAAATATAACGCGATAATTTCGTTAACCCGATACCTCGAATAAGCTTCGAACCCAACATCCCGGGAATATCTCCGATTCCGATACCGTGCAGAATCGATACCGATTGGTCGTCGAAATTTTCGACAATTTTCGCCACGCGTTCTTCGCGCGCAGAATTTTGGAACGAGTGGATTTTCGGAAGGAAGAGCCACGCGGTTACGTGTGCATCTGGAGAAATAGCGAGAGATCGTACCTCATCGCCGGTGTAAAAGCCATAGGGGGCATACAGCTCGCTCTCGGTCTCGCTGCCGCAATATGGGAGCGAGGTCGATCTGACGAACGTCTGATGATGAAATTTGAATTCCGCAGCGGGCTCCATCGCGTTGCTGTCGGATTTCCTCTTGCAGGTGAGATGAGATCCGCCAGCATGCCTGAGCTCGAGATTCGAGTCGCACTCGGGCGAGCTGGAAAGGCACTCGTAAACATGACTGTCGTTAGACGTCTGAAAAAGTGTTGGAAAAGCGAGAAAAATGATTAATCGCTGGTCGACTGTGAGCACGTGGATACACGGGGCATCGAGATATACAGGGTCGTTCAAAGGAGGATGTCTCAAGAACCACGACCCAGCCTGCTACCCTCGCGAGTGATAAACGCTGGGACTAGATAGAACGGACTGGTACGTGCCATAAGCGTTGGTTTTAGGATACTCGTACGGCTAGTAGGTCAGGTGGCGTTAAATTCTTGAACACCTTTCTTCTTACTTCCCGTACACTTGCACGGCTGGCCATAAAAATCGTTAAAAGCCCATTAATAGTAGCATTACCAGAGAATCGGACGTGGGTGGCGCAGAAACCGCGACGGCCTCGTAATCCTGATTAAGGGCCGGGCTGGACGAGCCGTGTTTCTTGAGGATCGGCTGCGAGGTCGCTTGGTCCCTCATGCTGGCGGTTCTTTGCGGTTTCGAGGGTGCCAACGAGCTGCGCACCTCACCTGTAACATCCTCCGCTGCTGCAGGCACGTCCGCCATCGTCAAGCGCCACGGGTTAGTACCACAAGACACAAGGCATGTCACAAAACAGGCTAGCTACCGTGCTAGCGTGCTAGGAGGACGGAATTTCGTTCCGGCTAAAACGCTAGATACGCGCTAGCACGTACGTACCTATGCAGAGCGGATCGTTCTCGCGAGGGGGCGAGGGTAAAGCGACCATCAGTCACGATCCTGGATCGACGACCTGAGATCGCTCACCGCTCGTCCGCATTTTCCTCTCGCGAATCGTTCTTACGGGTAAACCCTCGCGAATGTGACCGCGGTGTACGCGATGGTAACGATAATCTAATCGTCGACCGCGGCAAATCGCGTCATCCATTCAACCCTTTAATCCTTTTCCCGTGAACTCGCAATCGTTTGGCCGATTTTCGATCGTTCTTTTCCACCCTCGTGGGTATCCGCTCGAAACGCGACTTCTTCGAGGTCAGCTAAGATGTGCCAATTCCTCGAAAATCTTCCGGCCCGGGTTCCGACTAGAGGGTTCAATAGAGTTCTAGAAATTCCAGGACGAAACACAGTGAATTAAGTGGCGTTGGGAGTTGCTGAGCGATCGTCGGGAATCCTGGAATTGGCAGGCATTCGTTATCAGGGCTCGACTAAAGGGGAACACGATGCTAATATGCAATCGATACATGCGGCGTTAGTTGCACCCAGGGTCGGTTAGGGACACCTTGCACGATAATCCTACCACCGTTCACGCGACACCGGCGACGTGTTCGCTATTTACAGCGTACCAGGAATCAGACGAGCGCCTCTGTACCCTGTACCTGCCTCGATTCGCAGAATCGTAGCCAAAGCAAAAATTCGATTCGTCGTCTGTTGGGTGAGAAGGAGAAGTGTGCGTGTAGACCGCCGCATAATCCACGACATCCCTGTGTCAATGAAACGAGTCTCGGACGAGGGTGTGAGAGAGCATGAGAGAGAGAGAGAGAGAGAGCGTGAAGAATGGGGGAGTGAAAGAGGGTGGAACGAGCGAAATGGCGGGTGAAAGAGGGAGTTGTATGCAAATTTCGAGTAGACGTGAAGAATGGGGGAATGAAAGAGGGTGGAACGAGCGAAATGGCGGGTGAAAGAGGGAGTTGTATGCAAATTTCGAGTAGTCTCTGAACGCAGTCTCATCGGTGCATGCGGTTAACGATGAAGCAGCCCCAAATCGAACCGCGCAAACGTCAAACGGCCGCAATCCAATAACAATTATCAAAGGAATCGATCGAGGTTCCTTTTTTCGCTTCGTCGTTTCACATCGTTCGAGGCCTCCGTTCGTTCGTCATGAAAAGGGAAAAAGCACACGCGCCGGATAGAGAGATACCAGATCCCGAGGATCAAACGCGACGGGTGCAACGAACCCGAATAAAAGAAGAAGAGAAAACAAAAAAAATTGGAAATAAAAATAAAAATAAAAATAAAAATTACGAAAAAGAATTAAAAAAAAAAAAAAAAGAAAAAAGAAAGAGAGACGAATACGAGATTTCGAGAGTATATCACGTGACCAAGAAAACAAGGCTCTCTGGTTTTTCAGGCAACAAACGTTTATTTCAGACACAGAAATTCGAGGTTTACAGAATCTTCGTATTCCATTCTATCGTTCTATTTACAAACGGTATGTGTGTATCATCGGTTCATACAACTGGTGTCGCACTGTTCTATTCCTTCCAATCTTTCTGTCTTAATTCTTTTCGTTAGATCGGCCAGCCATTCTCAAACTTTCTGATCGCACTCGTCCGTGGATAGAAATTTCTGCGTCGAATTGAAAAGATGGCGTTTCGCGCGGAACGAAGATAATCGCGTGCGTGGCGCTTCGTCGGTAAAGTGGCGATTAAAAAATAAAAATAAAATAGAAGAGGTTAGCGCGGAACGTGATCGATCTTTCGCTAACAAAAAGTACGAAGTAACGCGTTAATAAGATATATCACAGAGAATCGTGAATCGTTCGTATAATATCTCTAATAGAGCGGTTAGTCGAGAAAGTACATACACGAGTATGGAATATTATAGTCTTTCGAAGGGATTAGTCTTGGAGTAATAAAAAAAAAAAAAAAAAAAAAAAAAAAAAAAAAAAAAAAAA